CTAAAACTAAATGCATACCTTCGGCAAATACTTCGAATGCTATCGTATACTGTCAACAGAATGCTAATTATGTTACAGTAAGTAAATTTTTTTAAACAATTGCATAAGTAAGCCTTATATATTTTTTAGATTTAACTAATAAAATATATAAAGTTTACTTGGCGCCTTTTTTCTAAAAATTTTTTTTTTTTGGAATTTGTAAGCATTTGTAGCCACCCGAACATGATGTACATATACATCATGTAGAGTGCTTACGTGATGGTGGCATTTTGGATAAGGATGATCAACTTTTTGACGTTTTTGATGACAAAAAAGATCAGGTTGGTGAGAAGTTCTACGCAACTTTTCAGCTTCTCATTTACACTTCATATTTATTTCTTGAAATTATTCTACCAAAGTTACACGATATTATGCTGCATCATCACGGGTCATTACTTAATTAATCTTCAAAGACTTTTTTGGTGTAAACTTTTCTACTCAATCTCAGATGAGATTTGCCATTTATTGTTGCGAACATTTATTTGATTTCGATCAGATAACTTTCAGATATTAGCGATTCACGATGAATCTGATTCTTTGCCTACGTATGCTTCTCATTTTGTCGTTGATGGAACAACGCCTTCTTCGACGTCTTCTTCAGCCACTGGAAAATCTTCCACACCTATAGAAAGCCCTTCTTTTGAGAGCAAATTAAATGTCATATCCAGTTCTAGTGATGGCGATGTCGTAGAAATAACAAATACTACTTTGCCTTCAAGTTCGTCTTTGTTAGATTTAATGAGATATAAAAAATTAATTATTACTTAGGTAAATAGTTAAGTTTAATGAAACACATAAATGTTTCAATTAAGTGAGAATTTATTATCTATCACAGATACTCACAGCATTAGTCAAATAATGTTTTGAAGGAATTCGCACTGTTAATTGAATATACTTACAATTAGCAAAATATTCAATAAAGGATTTCATTTTGCTAAAAAATTTAGGAAAATTTTGCGAAAGATTTTATGAAGTTTAAAAAAATGTAGAGGAAAATAAAATGAAATAATTTGAGCAGGTGATTTACGCGTGATTTCGGACAACGTGCATACGCTGCAACAAAATCCTACATCATCCTTTGGGATAGCAGATTCTGCTTCTGTTTCTGCTTCTGCTTCATGCAGTAATCAACCGTTCACACATTTTGAACAGAAACGTGGCGGCTTTTTAAATTCAACACGTATCCAACATTCCGCATTGAAAACTGCGAATTCGCCTCCAAAAACTAAATATCGTGTCACTATATCGCCAGGTTTCTATTCTCAATTTTTTACTTGCTTTTTATTTAAATATTCTTCTATTATACATCAGATATACCCTTAAAAGGTGAAAAATGTTTGATCTCAATTGCAGGTGTATTTTGCATTCTTCTAATACATTTGAGAATAAATGCAGATCTTAGATGCATGCTAGGTTCTATACCTTAGAAATCACTTTTGCTCTCAAAAAATGATATGATTTTTCGCCAATGCTTACTTTACTGAAATTTTCAGATGCTCAACGACATGCACAACAAGAAGCTATGTTACCTTCTCAGACAGAATCATTGTTGACACGAGCATCCATTCGAAAGTCACGTCTTACCGATAACTTTTTTGAAGCAAAGGAACGATTACAAGATAAATTTACTAATACATCAGACAGTCGGACAACCAAAACAGAAATAAAAGCATCCAAATTGATACCACCAATGGAAGCAATTAATCCAGCACAGACAGTGATTGCACTCTCAGATACCACGATTAATATTCACTTAGGCATTGAGGTATGACTAGCTACTATTAGTGTACAAAAAATGATTTACATTACAAAAGTACTTTAATTTATTAAAATTTTCAATGAAGGATTAGCTTGATCCGTTTGATTGATTATAAATAGTACATTGAAATAATTATTACTTGATCATTTAAAGAGATTTTTGATGATCATATATCTATCTATACATGTGCATGTATGTTTATTTTATTTTTGCAATCAATTTCGAGTAACTTTAATCTTATTTGTTGTAAAAATTTGTTGTTTCTTAGATCTCCCCTGTGTATGATACAGTAAACAGTACACGACTACAAGCAGTAGAAATCAGGCAAATTGATGAAGATGGACGAATAGGTATTGATGGGCGCCTTCGAACTGGAGATCGTATTGTAGAAATTAACCAACGTCCGGTTTATCAGGTTAATAACTAGTCAAGAATAAAATTTGAAATAATTATATTTAATATGTATCTACTTTTCATATCAAAGCACTAATTTTTAGTTTCCATTTTATATCTATTTAGATCATTTCTATATGATCTTTATAAAAAAAAATCTTTTATTCAAAATATCCAGTACATTTGGAATTATATATATATTCATTTATGCAAATTTATTGTTTATGCGTTCCCCAATTTTTTCATTTTCTAGTAATATTGTCAATAAAAAACCGCAGATCATTACTGAAGAATAAAAATTGACCTGATTTGACCTGAGCTGATCAGAAGGTGAATATATTTTGTTGTTTAATTCAGATGTCCCTTTCACGAGCTCGAGCTTACTTACACGAAATGCAAACAATCTCCCATCCAAGCCTAACGATTGATCGTTCTATAGAAACATTTGTTAGCGATGGTATGTATTTTTATGTAATATTATATATGCACTCAAATATTACGGAACAAAGTTTGCGAGAAAAGTTTGTGCGAAAATTCGTCATATATCTTTAGACTAAAATATGCGATCAGCCAATAGTAGCATATTTTTTTGATTTGACTATTTCATGTTTTATTCCTCTTTTGTATTTTTTGGAGTGAATATGATAACTTTTTAGTAATTAGCTAAAATGAAAGAAATAAGTGATATGACACGTAATTTTACGTCGTATTTTCATAAATTTTTTTAATTGTACGTATTTTGCAGAAAATTTAAATTACGGCGAAATTTTATTCGTCTTCAATCATTATTAACTGTTTGAAACATATTGGCTCTGATCAAATAATTATTTTATAATTAGATCAATTTTTATCAAATCATTTTTTGCAGTCTAATTTATCCAAGAAGTCAAAAAAATATCAGAAATTTCAGCAGTTTCTCATCATAGTCAGTCATCAACAGGTAGTCTACAAAAACGGCCATTACTATCTGCTTTACAGCAAGCAAATACAACAACTCTTGGGACAACATTTCCGGTTGAAATTACTAAAAGTATGGCTTTTGTAGTTTTATTATTATTTAGAGATTTGGATAAGTCATTTTATGAATATTTTGGGCTTTTAATTTTAATAAAATTGCTAAATTTCTGAATTCGCATTTAGAACATTTTTATTTCAAATAAGTAAGATGAATTACTGATTCCACTTTGATCAATGTTGTATTACTATAGGGAATAATGGCTTCGGTTTTACCATAACAAGTCGTGAAACTGCAAAGGGCGAACGATTATTTTACATTGGGACCGTAAAAGCTGGTGGGGCAGCAATTAATAAATTGAGAGCTGGTGATCGGTTATTACAGGTCATTGATATTTTTGTATTCTTTGTACTTCATAATTTTAAATTTCATAATCTAACTGTAGTTTTTAATTTAAAAAATGTATCTCTGCATTAGTTCTTTATAGCAGCTAACTTCCTTTGTACAATACTGTAACATTTT